ATGATTATATATAATTATATATAATCATTTTTACCTGGGCAATTTTAAAATTTGACCAGATCTGGTCAGATCTGATTATATCTGGCCAGATCTCGTCAGATAGAGACAATTTAAAGATCTGGCCAGATCTGCCTTAGCAGATCTGGCCAGATCTTTAAATTGTCTCTATCTGACGAGATCTGGCCAGATATAATCAGATCTGACCAGATCTGGTCAAATTTTAAAATTGCCCAGGTAAAAATGATTATATATAATTATATATAATCATACATAATTATATATGAAAAATGGCCATATATAATTATATAAAATTATATAGAATTATTTTCATAAAAAAAAAAAAAAATCGGCGCGCACGGGATATATCAAAAATACATGTGGGTACTCAAATGAAAGCTCCTGATGAGTGTGACATCAGGATGAGTTTATATCTTTAAAAAAATCAATAATTAAGAAATGACCTTGTATCTTGTGAACTATTGACATTTTTAAAGATGTAAGCTCATCCCGATGTTACACTCATCAAGACCTTTTATTTGAGTACCCACATCAATTTTTTATATATTTATATATATCATATACATGTATATGTGAAAAATATATCAAAAATGCTTGTGGGTACTCAAATGAAAGCTCTTGATGAGTGTAACATCGGGATGAGCTTATATCTTTAAAAACGTCAATATTTAAAAAAGTACAGCGCAATTTAACAAAAGTCATTAATTTAATAAAGCAAAATTTCATTTAATCATAGCTGACAAATCACGGCAGTCACATTGTGACTGCAAAGTTGCTAGTATGTAAATTAGTAGTCAAGAGTGGTAAAATATTGAAGAGCAAGGTTTTAAATCACCATCCATACTTGTCCGATTTAACCGGGCCAGCGCGAAAAGGTTACTGATAATTAATCTTAAAGCCTAATAAGAGTAATCAACCGCGGTATCAAAAAGAGAAGTTGATCATCTGCAAGAACAACATACCATAATCGTATATAGACATCATATTTATATGTAGGTGTAATGTTGGGTATTGTGGACGTATGGAGTCTTTTGGCACCACGGTAATCAGACGGACGTTAAATAAAACGACTCATCAATCTGTAATCTCGAAAGTTGTGTTATATTATAAATTATGAATAGTAATCATAAAGAAACGGAAAATCATGAATCATGACACTAATAATTATTGAGAAATTATATACTAATGAGAGTTACTAATTACGTAGTATATTTGCTCACTTGTAATAACAAGTAATGACAATTATTTAATATTTAATTTATATATTGGTATTCGGACCCAATAGGGGGGTTGAGTAACCGATTGTATATTCTGTTTGGGTTCCTAACGAGCCGACAATTTCACCAGCAGCCAATGAAGAAACAAAACCTTTATGCTTCTGAGTATTTATTCCAACTTAATGTTATGGTAATGGATATTACGATCGATTAAATGCACTATAAGTTCCAATAATAAATAAATAATTGTACTTTAAGTTTAAAGACCGCACTGGTAAATTGAGTACTTGCGACCGCAAGTATTTAAGTAAGTATGTACCTGAAGGTAAACTCGAAATTGCTTTCTTTAAATGTAAGTTTAATGTGTATGTGTATTATATTGAATGGATTGCCGGCGAACGAGTCTTTAATTAACGAGCCCGGTCCTAAATCGTGTAAGATGCAATCACAATTAATGCGCGAAGAATCACACTTAACTGTGTGTAATTCAAGGTGGAGAGAAAGACTAAATTAGTCTTTTAAGTATTTATTCTAATTATTATTTATAGGAATTTTTTTTTAATAATAATCACAATTTTAGGGAAAATTATTGATCTAATATTTTTCTTTGATGACGTTTTTTTTTTGTTCTTTATTATTTAAAAAATTTATTTTAATTAAGTAAAAATTATTTTCATCAATTCGACCAAATTTTTAGACAAAAAATATATATTTTCAATTAATTATCAAGAAAATTTGTTCTTTTGTTAGAAAATTTTGTTAATTGTAATATTTATTTCTGTCGGTATGAAAAAATTAAGAAACTGTAAATAATTGTTTCTAAATTTGTAGAAAAAATTTCTTTAATTTTAAATATTTAAGAAAAATGAAAGAAATTCTTTTCTTGTCAACATTAAAATCAAAAAAAAAAAAAATATAAAACATTTTTTTTATCGATAATTTATCGACTGATTATTTTTTAAATTAATTTTATTGTAATTAAAATAATTTATTCTGTAATTAATAGCAAAAAGTCTTCAGAAAAATAAAAAAAAATGTATATAATTTTAAACTAATAATTAAAAAATGAACTTTTTATCTTTTTCTTTCATAATATCACTAATATTTTTATAAAATAAAAAAATTGATAAAACAATTTAAATAATACGATAAATTTCTGACTTTTACCGTAATAATTTCATCTTTGATTCGTGATATTTTATAAATGTTATGACTAAAAAATGCAATATGCAATATGTAGCTTATAATGTAAAACTAAGGGGTAATAAAGTCCTATCGAAAACAAGTGGCGCAATTAGTTTAAATCGTGAACTCACGAATATTACACTTCATACAATCTTGTATGTTTACTACAAGCATATGAATATTTATATTTTATTTATATAGGATAGTAGTATACGGATTATATATAATCCACTTCTTATCCTTTCTCTCATGTTACTTAATAAATCTTCATTCCCACATTTTTCAAACAATTTTCACGTTCAAACAAATTATTTTATCTGACGATGAGCATATACCCGGGTCAAAATATTTAATCTGTTTTACGATTAATGAAAATTTTTAATATTTTTCATTCTATTTAATTTTATTATGAGTATCTATTTTATATGAGAATTTAATCTGTTTTTGCCCGTACTATTCACAATTCAGACCAATTTCAGATCATTTTTAATGTTATAATAAAATGGTTTTCTATTGTTTCAAGACCAAAATCAGACTTTATTTGTCACGATCATTTAGCTGGTTTTGATCGCATCAAGGTCAAAAACAGACCAAAACGTTCTATAATTTTTAGTCGGTTTTTAATCGCCTGTAGATCAAAAACCGACCTTTCACGAATTTGATAATAATAATAATAATAATAATAATAATAATATATTTATTATTATTTTATTCATGTCCTCGAAGATCCTCTACAGGGCACGGCTTTTCATTCTCTGAAACTGAAATAGTGACCATTCACTATTTCGTAGTGCAATGTGTACCAAACGGTATTCTTCGCACTACCAAATAGTGAATACCGCTCATTAAATGATGCGTGAAAGTTTAAAATTTAACATTAATCTTGTCAACATTTTAATCTTGTCTCGATGTATTCACATTGTGTTTATTAACGATAATTAGAAAACTCTAGATTTAGATCCATAATCAAACGATGAGAACGATTTTATAAACGTATATTAATACAAATTTATTAGTTATCACTGCAATTAATATTCGCAGTTACAAAACTTTTATAATCCATGAAATGTTGAGCTATGACAAATAAATATGACAGATGTAAGGTTATAATCGGCGCTCAGTTCATAAAACAAGAGAGCGCATAAATATATTATAAATTAATTTATTTTTACAAATAAATGCGACTTATAATTTTTAACGAGATACTTTTGAGTCAAAAAAATTATAAGTCGCCATCTTAGTCGACTTTTGGCCTTCAAACATTTAGAGTGAAAATTGTAGATCAAAAACAATATAAGATTTCAGATTAAATTTGAAAACAATACATAAAGTCCATCTACAAATTAACTAGACTAAAAACCGATCAAACTTTTAAAACTTCTTAGTCTCATTAGATTAGAATATACAATCGAATTTTAAAGAAATATTTTAAACGCAGTCAAAAATTAATTTTTTAGAACATTAGTTTCACATTAAAAAATGATCTTTGACCTTTTAATAAATTATTGAATAAAAAAAAGAAATCACTTTACCTGTGAAATTGTTTTTTGTAGGAATATTTATTTTTCATTCATTTTCTGGATAAGAAATAAAACCGTATTGACTGAAATTGTAACAATAGTAAGAGAGGAAAAATACTATAGTTGTTACATATTAAAATATTTACATACTTATATATTTTACTACTCTATAATTAAGCGATACTTTTTATAATTTCATAAGTAAGTATTATTACTTATTATCATTATATGGAAAGAGAAATATTATATTTAATAAGTGAAAACAATCAATTTTATTCACTAGTTATAATATCTACTCGTTAAAATATAATAAAATTATTTTTACAAAGCTATTATTTTGTTTTTTGTATTATAAATTTTATGGATGAAGATAATTAATTTAATAAGCAAAATTATTGCATATTTTTTTCAATTTTGAATTTTTTCGCAGGTGATTGCTACAGTAGTTTCATTACATTATTTAAAAATTAATTCCTAAAATTTTTAATTTAATAATAACTAATTTATATATAAAAAAATTATTCCAAGTCCTTAATTTTCACTTTTTTAATTAATTAAATTAATTCTAATTTTTCTTGATCGATCTCAATGCAAAAATTAGTCATATATTGCTTTTGCAGGTGGTTTTTACGATAGTTTCATTGAATTAATTAAAAATTAATTCGGAAAATTAATTCCTAAAATATTTAATTCAATAATAACTAATTTATACATAAAAAAATGACCCCAAGTCCTTAATTTTAAGTTTCTTTAATTAATTAAATTAATTCTAATTCTTCTCGATCGATCTCAATGCAAAAATTAGTCACATATTACAAATTAATTCATCATTTTTATAAAAAAAAAAAACTTACCGGCTACGTGAAGATCCTCTCATAGACGCAGGTAAAACATTGGTAACATTATGATTAATATTAGCATTCCTGGTGCTCCTTTGATCAGCGGAGGTCCGTGGTAATCTAGGACTACCGGCTAGGGCAATGCCCATGAGGCAAGCGGCTAGTACCGCTGCTCTCATTTTCATCTTTACTCGCTCACTTTATTAATTATAATTGCAAATATAATTTATCTAAATAAATTAACTCTCCAACTTACAATCTACTGTTACTGCACTTTGACACAATCAATACCGATGTCCTTAATAAAATACTAGAGTAAAAATCGAGGAAACCTGTTCAATAAATTAGTCACAGTCACTGTTTGCCCCTTTAATTAAATTAGTCCTCAGAAAAATAAAAAAAACTACCACAAAATTAAAACTCAAACATAAAAAAAAAAAAGCACTAATTAACAGTTTAGATAAAATTAATAACTCATATTATTATTAATTAATAATCACATAAGTTTCACAGTTAAAAATGTATTTTATTAAGTATCGAGCAAGTAGCGTAAAGCAACAAAACGTCCGTCCGCGGACTCGGTTGTTGGTAAAGTGTCTGACTGTCCGTATCTCTCTCTTAGTGGGTCTGAGTTCTGAAGTGTAGTGCGGTGGTGGCTGTCACGGGGTCCGGGCCCTCCACAGCAGCCTAAGCCGGAGCGTAACGAGAAGTAAAGTAAAGGTAAAACTCAGTACCAGTAACAGTGTCTACAGACTGGCTCGAATTAACACAAGTTAAGTAGAATGGGCCTACGGTTTACAGTTTAAGATAAACTTTACGCTTTACAATTATAAGTAGAGTGTAGGTCGTCTATGCTGGCTCTGATACTGCAACTCGGACTGTTCTTGGGTCTCTTATTCCCTATTCTGCATTTAATTATCTGATTAGATATATATTAATATGCTTAATAATTTTTTATTTTATCAATTATCTATAAATTTATTAGTTTGAAAATAATTTATGCAATTTTTAATTATAAATAATTATTTTTTGACATTTAATAAATGTTTTTTTTTTTTAATAATAAATAATTAATTTTTTTGAATATTTATTTTGTTATTTAATAATTTTTGCTGCAGCAAAAAAATTAAAAAAAATTATTAATGTATCTAATAGAATTTTTATCCTCAATTTTTATTAAGAAAATTAATTTGGTAAATATTTAATAATTTTTTTTAACAAATTAATTATAGCAAAAAAAAAAAATAACTTAACTTAAATTGAAAATGCAATTTTTTAAAAATAAATTTTTGAAAAAAATTTTCTTGATAAATAAAATTAAAAAATTGACATATTTTTATTCACAGATTGAAATAAATTATTAACAATTAATAAAGCTTATTAAATGTTAACAAATCTTTCTATTGATACAATATATAATAGAAAAAAATCTAGCACCTAGTATTGGTGCCCCATTGACCGGATATCGAATGGAAGTAATCCGACTTTTGTATTGGATCAATACATACATGTGTATTATATTTGTATTGATATTTACGTGGTGTACTAAAAAAATGACTGGTAGGTATACGGGCACGCGTTCTCAGTCAACTAAGACTTTACTTTCACGTCGGAACCATGACCGACGTTTATGATTGCGGGTCGAACCTCCGGAAGACTACGAGCGATAATATTATGCACATTTACATATTAATAAAACAGACAGTAGAGTTCTTAATTAATTTAATTAATTGGCTTTTTTATGAGTGGATGATTTTATGGGAGAGGAAGATTAATCCTGGATTTTAGAGATTTATAGTCCATTATTATTATTAATATTACATTTTTAATTTATTGATTGTTCATCAGCCATAAAAATAAATTTACTTTTATTTTATTAATTAATAATTCAGACGTAACTCTCCTGAAAGGAGAAGATTCAGCAGTTATGCACCCTCTGTCGGTAATTTTCAACACTATTTTTGCTCGGGAAATTATATATGAGCTTCCATCGCCATATCAAGTCATATTTAATCGTATATAATTTTTTTATATGTAAAATTTTGAATTAAATAAATGAATATTTGATAATTAATTTTTTTAAAATTAATATTTATCTTTTATTTGTTATTTAAATATAAAAATTTGATTTTATATTTAACATATCATAAATATAGTGGTCATAATAATTTTTTTTTAAAGAAAATTAACAATTGAACAATTTTTAAACACAATATATTAATGCTGAACAATTTAAAAAGAAGAAATTAATTTTTACGGAACTATAATTTCAAAAATTTTAATTTCTTTTTTAATTTTTCCAGTTTGAAATTCAATTTTAAGTATTAAATATTAATGTTAAAAATTAATCTTTCAATTTTCCTTTAAATTAAATAATATTGTATTTTTTAGTAAAAAGTGTAAAAAAGACACTTGAAACTTTATAATGATTAGAGACAGAATATAATACTTAATAATTTTATTAGTGAATTAAAGTGCGGAAAAAAAAGTAAACAAATAAAATATGAAACAATACTAACACCCACATTTTTTCTCACTGCATAATATTGAGTTTGCATCAGTACAAGCTACATCTATACGACTTATAGTACTATCTCTTGTATATGGATTACTTGTATCGGTTCACTAATAAAACTACTGCCTACATCTAGGTACTGTTTATATTATATATTATATTATATGTATATGCAGCATTAGACATTGCTATACCTAGAGTAGAGCGTATTATATATATAGCGATGCATAATGTAGCACACGAGCATTTATAACGCCCGCTCTCGCGTTTCATTGTAATAGCATATAATACGGACATACTATTCACAATACACGCATGAGTCATATACATGCAGGAAATACTTTTGAGCAGTCTTGCTCTAATGTAACTTTACATTTCTTCTTACAGGTTAGTAAGTAGGAGGTTATGATCAAGAACAAAATTATTAGCTTCTAGACTTTATATTTGTATCATCCATTTTTGTTTTTAATAAAATAATCAAAAATATCTACAAAATTTTTTATTTTAATATTTTACATATAATAAACTTTAGCAAGAAATATTTTTTATTAGATCAACCTATAAAACAATGATCCAAGTCAAAATCAGATTGAGAATCATTTAGTAGCGCTACCTGTTGGATATTTATGCTATTAAAATTAGTTTTATATCTTTAACTTGATAAAATTTTAATGAAAAAATTATTTTGAGCCGAAAAATTTTGCTTTAGAAAAAAAAAGTGTAATTTTTATACGAAAATTAAAGTAGCAGATATTTAATAATTTTTAGAATTTTTTTAATAAATAAATTAGTGCAAAAAAAAATATTTAAAAAAAAAACTGACATGTAAAAATTATAAAAAAATAAAAATGCAATTTTTTAAAAATAAGTTTTTGGAAGAAATTTTTTTTTTAAATAAAATTAAAAAATTGTGAAGTGGCTGCTAATTTTAATGTCATAATTTTTATATAATGATAAATATTTTTGAATTGAAGAATTATTTGCGAAATTTATTATTGTTAAAAATTGTAAAAATTAAAAAAAGGTCAATCTTTTATAAAAGTTAGCTTTTTTTTTGTAAAATATTAATTAAAAAAATAAATATTTAAAAATACATATGCTGTAAATTAATGAGAAAGTTGACGAAAATCAACAGATATTATCGGTTGTAGCTCTAAAAAATAATCAAGCAATAAATCTCGCTGACTTTCCCATGATCGGTGATTATTAAAAAAGTGTGTTGACTCATATTTATACTACAGTAAAGGCACAAACGGTTCTATTCTTCGAAATCTCTGAATAAACATTGTTTATTGATGATTGACCAATCATCGCCATTAAAAAATCCATCCATGATCATTGAAACGATGTTTATGTTGATTAGATGAATGGAGTTCATGTTGCTGATATCCTTCAGCAGACGTGTAACGTCGCAGCTCTTTATGCTTATCAATTATCCTTCCGAGGTGTCGAAAATCACACTATTTTGCTTAATTTATTAAATTATAACTAAAAAAATATTTTTAAAAAATAGCACTTATAGTTTTTGAAGTTTTTAACAAGTGAAATTTTTTTTTTATTTTTTTGTAATCATTTTTTCAATAAAAAAAAATTCTAAAAATTTTTAAATGTCGGCTAACTTAATTTTCATACTTCATTTTCATAAAATTTTTCGATCTCCATTCAAGAGTTATAATTCATTCATCCAAGTGTAATAATTTTTTCAATAAAGAGATGTAAATATTTTTAAACAAGCCTGAAATTTATAAGAAAAATATTTATTTGAACCGAGTTATTTCTTCTCCTGTATAGTAGCCGGGAAATGTCAACAAACGGATTAATAAAACCAAAGAGTATAATCACTCAATAGCGATTGAATGGGTTTTGTTAACCGTGAATCCCAATGGCATCTCGATCCACGTGTTGAGCAGAGAACAGAGACTCGTGATCAAATAATAATGGGCTTAACATCAATGACCTTTGCCTCTAATCTTTTATTTAACTGAACAAAGGTCTACGTACTCATATTGAACACTTGTTTCTCCTATTAATCTTAAACACCCATCCATAACTTATAAAACATACATATGTCTCTCTTTACTTGAGACGAGATTATTTTATCTGAACAAGTGCACCGACTGCAAGCATGGCCTCCATCAACATCCTCGAGGTCATGGTCTTCGTTTGCCTTCATGACTAAGCTCTCTTCTTACTTACTTATTCTGTTTGTATTTTTATTTCTCCTCACACCCGTTCTATCAGAACCCGTAAATATGTCGACACTTTCGCGGTAACAATCCAAATTTTTTTAGCACAAGTCTAAATAATTAGAAGGACAAAAGATGTTCAGAATAATTTTACTGAAGTAATTTATTAAATTTTGTGAATTAAGAAATAAATATCCGAACAAAAACAGTTTCACTGTAAAAAAAATCGCGCCAAGTCCACGTTCATAAAGACTATTAAGAAAAAAAAAATTAGTTTTTTTCTTTACAAAAAGATATAAAATAAAAAAATTAAAAAAATCCAAGTAACCGATATGATTGTTTATGATTTTCGGAAATTAAAAAAAATTTTGCTGTAAATTTAAAAATTAAAAAAACAATTTCGGAACGTACTTGGTGTGCGTCATATTGTGCACTTTCAATTTTTTTAAAGTCCTAGTAAATAAATTTTACGAATTTAATTAAAAGTAAAATATTTCGCAACAACGCACACTAAATACGTTCCAAAATTGTTTTTTTAATTTTAAAATTTACAACAAAATTTTTTTTAATTTCCAAAAATCATAAACAATCATATCGGTTACACGGAAAGAGCAAGATGACACTGGATACCATCTCAGATTATACTCAGTGACATCTGAGGTAAAAAAATTTCAGATGTTAGCTAGTATAATCCAGATTATACTGAATAATATCTGGATTATACTCATTGTAATCTGGATCATACTCATTGTTATCTGGATTATACTAGTTACTATCTGAAATTTTTTTTCACTCAGTATTATCTGGGATTATATCCAGTATAATCTTGTTCTTTCCGTGTACTTGGATTTTTTAATTTTTTTATTTTATATCTTTTTGAAAAGAAAAAAACTAATTTTTTTTTCTTAACAGTCTTATGAACGTGAACTTGGCGCGATTTTTTTACAGTGAAACTGTTTTTGTTCGGATAACATTTAAATACATCTATATCAACTTACAGAAATAAATTATGTTATTTAGAAGAAAAACATGCTTACCGTTTGCGTA